AAAAAAATAACATTACCATATTATCACAAGATGTTTTAAACGGATGTCAGAGTACTGGTGCAATATAGAGTGCATTTTTTGGGGGGGATAATATCCTGCATACCCATAGCACCGGTGCCATAGACCCGGGCGGGCTTCAGGGATCTCTCAGCTCTGGAATACTTTGCTGCTGCCACCATCTTCATGGACTTGGTGATCTTCTGGATGTTCTTGATGGACTTCAGCCGAATGGTGACTGGCGAGAGAGAAAAAATTAAACAATGGTCAGAAACGTCATACAATTGTCTGTTAGGTATAATAACATCGCCGCAAAACAAATATTAGCAAGATATAAATAATATTAACTAGAACAAAACCGGCATTTGTAAAGATATTAATGTTAGCTGACCTTTTATAAAGCTAAATTAAACTTTACTTACTGTCCTTCAAGGTAGCCATGTTCCTGACCTGCCCACTGCAAGAGACGTTTTATAGAAGTTAAGCTCATCCACAAATAAACACAATATAATAACTCTCAGGTCAATGAAGTATTAATAAATATGACAGCAACTGAAGTTTCACTGAAAGTAATGCATAGTACCCTGGAAACCCACACTGCTGTTTACAGCACTACAGAACGGTTTCCATACAAACAGTTCAGAACTCAGAAAGATAACTTGATTAAATATGTGGAGTCAGCAGCGTATTGCTATTAAATAACCATAATAAACATGGAAAAGTCAAGTCGCGCGCTGTCATTCGCTTAAGAACACTGCGGCCTAAAGTTCACCGCGTCCTTGTTCAACAACATCCGCGTTTCATTGACCAACTGACACAATTTAGTCTCATTACTTATAAACGCATATTTACAGAAAATGATGTATTCAACAAGTCAATAAATTCCTACCATTGTGGGAGGAACACCGCCGCGCTGGTCCTGGCGAACATGTTCAATTCAACGAAGGTCAGAGCAGCCGGTCTGCGCAGGCGCAGATAAAGCGCAGAAAGACGTTCTCGTCGCAATCTCGCGATAGTTGAGGTACACACGGATCAGTGACCAACCACGCATGTTAGCAAAGCGAGGGATCCGCGTCACAACGCAAGACAGAGTGGGAAGTGTTGAGACACTGGAACTGTTATTATTTTTCATTAAATCTTGATTTTTTTGGGACTGATTAAAATGGGGAAAGCTGATTTTCTAAGTCCTAAAGCGATTGGAAACCGAATTAAAGCCAAAGGCCTTCAGAAACTGCGCTGGTATTGTCAGATGTGTCAGAAACAGTGTAGAGACGAAGTAAGTTTATGTGAACGTGTGGCATGTGTAGATGAATTAATTCGATTTTTTTCTTATCTAATTTTAGGTATGAATAAAAGTACTACTTAGTCTGTTTTAATTTTCCCATATTTTGTATATGTCTTTTATTGCCTCTATAGCTAAACAGCATTATTGGATATCTTAGGCCATGTTACAAAACTTTTGCTGCCTTTCTAGATTTCTTGTTTGGTTATAATATGTCATATGTGTCTTGCAACATGCTAAATGATTAAATGAAAACTTAATAAGCTACCAACGCCGTAGACCGTCTTAAAAACAAGCGACCTCCCAATGTACTCAGCAATGACTGTGTTGGGTATCATTGTCTTAAAACCTAGTTAGACAGCATTGTGGGTCAACATATGAGCCTATCTGAGTTTGAGCAATATAGGTTGTGTGTCAAAACCAGACTTTGGCAATATTGTCAGCTAACATGATCTCTCTGGATTGCAGAATGGGTTTAAGTGTCACTGCATGTCTGAGTCTCATCAGAGACAGCTGCTGTTAGCTTCAGAGAACCCTAACCAGTTCCTGAACTACTTCTCCGAGTAAGTCAACACACACACACAC